AAGAGGATTTTGTTCTTTGTTTAATTAGAAGGCAGTCTCTACAAAAGATTTGACTTTGTTTCTAAAAATCAAGGTGGTTGTTTTGTTTTTTAAAAGTTTCAGATGAGCAGTACATGGTCGTTTTAACACTACAGGTCTCCCCTCAGTCCCTAGTTTTAGTGCTGGCAATGTTTTTTAAATTTCCGAAAACTGAAAAGTGCAAGTCGTGTCTTCAGCAGGCTTGCAACACTTAAAGTTACTGAATCTTTTTATAATCTCACTGTTTGGCATATATAACATGAAAATAATATTTACAAGTAAAATTCAGGCAAATAAAACAGCAGTAAGATAGTTTTCAATGTAGTTCTATGTTACTGAATGGTTACTTAGCTAAATGTTATCCCATGAGGGTTTGAACATGGACTACTACACTATGAAAGGATTTAAATGGATTGGTAAAATAGCCTTCTCTAAAAACATTGGACAACTACACTAGATGGAATACACTGATCTGTAGATAAGGTTTGGTATTTTTATAGTGCCTTCAGAAGGGTGGTTATTTTTACACCTACTTCTCCAGCAGCCTAAGAGAATACTACTCTTGAAAACTGGTTCAAGACACAAGTAGTTTAAATCAACTCTGGACATTATTCCAGAATGAAGTGTTGAATTCCAGACGAATTAATTTACACAGCTTTTAACAGTTACCTTTGCATTCCAGGTTTACCAAAATGAGTTTATTGAAGTACTGTTGAACACTAAGCACTGAAGTGATTATTTGCCTTAACTATTTTACTAAGAGATTAAAAAAAAAATACATCACTTGGGAATGCTTGAAAGAAATGCTAGAAAAGCATCAGGTAATTCACTCTCCAGCTGAGACAAGTCCACTGACTGAAGGAGATCACTTGCCACCTAGCCAAATCATCCACAGGTCATCTCCCTTATGCTCACCTGCTATTTCAAAAGTTCTTAGCAGTACAGAGATTCAGAAGCCCTACAAGTAGGGTTACAAGTATGAAAGTACCACCACAACGTGGTCTTAGGGTGTCACAGTCTTTGTAAGCATCTTAGAGATAGCTGTGTTGGTGCTAATGCTGATAAAAGGCAGAGAAAAAGAACACACAGTTCAGGTAGAAGCAGTGAAGATTTTTACCACCTTGAACTGCTGTGGAGCCTTAGTCTCACATACAAACATGTACAGTGTACTAAGAAGGCTGGAGCCTATAACCTAGCACAACTGAAAGAATTCAAGAGGAATTAAGGTCTACAAAACACAGGGAGGTTCAGGTGCTGGTACAATTAGTTCTGTGCTGTCCCTCTAAGTGCAAAAAGATCAACAAATACACAGTCTGGGGAAATAAAGTCAAAAGCAGTGGTCTTGAAATGCTGAAAATACATTGATTAAGCCCAGGTGCTTAACCTATAATTGCCTATTGGAAGAGATTGTAATTGATAATCAATGATTGCCTAAACCAAAAGAAGCAATTCTATAGAACTGGTCTGTAAACCCACAGATCAGAGCTGGAGACAGGAGGAAATGGTACCAGCAGGGGGAGAGGAATGTAAAAGTAAGTACAAATCAGGGACAAGGGGCCAGAATCTGGATAACAGAACAGAGATCCACCACTTGTGCGGGGGTGGGGAGAAGAGGGTTAAATATACCCTAAATATATCATTAGTATCTCAATGAGACTCAGAAGATAAAGATAGTATTTCAAGAAATGATCAGAGTAATATGCTGAAAAACTGCACAATATATTTTGTTGGTTGGTCTAGGTCATACCTCATCCATCTCTTCACTCTTCCTTTTCTTCCCCGGCTTAAGCATTTTAACTGTAATCGGTAAGGTACTGCCCTGGTGCTTCACCTCCATCTTATTGGGTTGCAGAGGTGTGAACTGGATTTCCATCTCTGGTTTTGGGAACCGACTAGTTTCTCCGTTTTCTGTGGACACTTCAGAAGAGTCAAGGACAATTTCTGAATGGTCCTGCAAGCACATGGAAATTTTAAGTAAACAAGTATTAAAATGAGTTAGAAAACTATAACACATACCCCTCCCCTGTGGATTGCAAAGTAAACATTCCATTTCCAGCTGCTAGCTTTTCAAACACTTATAACAGAAGTGAAGAAATCTACTTCAACTATAGCAGAGTTTAACTCTTATTTTCTATAGCTTTTTTGTTAAATTTTAAAAAGTTAACATTTCTGTCTATGATCACAGAACTTAAATGTTTTCCTTGCAGAACTCAGCCTGATACTTTGTTTCCAAGATATTTTCCTCAAGGGCAGTAGCTAGCCACAGTTTTTACAGCTAGAAGTAGTGGAATTGACATGATTCTCTTCATCTTAACTCTGCTGCTCCTTAGGAACTAGGCAGTAATAGGAGCTTCTGAAAGAAAAACATAATCTTTCTCTAACTTATCATTAGGGAGCTTTCCCTTCCCCTTTACACTAGAGAAGTTAATCGTGTAAGTAACAAGGTCCAACTAGCAAGCTACAAGCCAAATTCAACCTGTAAGAGACTTCTACATCACTATCTGTTCTCTGGAGGAAGAGCAGGCACTCAGGTAGCACCCACAAGCTGAAGACCTTGTCCTGTGCCTGCTTACAGCCAAACTGCAAGAACTGCACGGTGAGGGTGGGATGGAAAGGTCAGTTTGCACAATTCTTCCCCGGCAGCACTCACCTCCCACCATCCACCCAATCCTGTTGTTCTTAGCAAAACCAGCAAGAAAGTCAGAGCTGTGGTCTCCCCAGCTCCTGCATCTGTGGCAGCAGTTCAGCTGCTGGCTAGCATACAGAAATGAATTCAGCAGCTCTTTGATTGAAACTTGGAAGATAGGCTGCTGGAGGTGTTGGTGGTGAGAAGTGGCAGGTGGCTGCTACTACTGCTGCTTCTTACACTGGTTCACCCTGAAGGGTACCTTCCTACTCTCAAAAAGGAAAATGATCAAAGCTCATGGAAAGCCAAAAGGTAAACACTTTCTTCAACAGTGTCTGCTGGGATTCTGAGTGGGAATACCAGCACCACTGCATTCCCAAGAATGGAGTTGGCTAATAACATTTTTCTTTACAACTTCTATTTCATGAAAGAGTTCACAGTCAAGAAGTTACATAGGAATGGTTAGCGTCATTAGCTACACACAGGAACCCTGCAGTGGAAGAAAGCAAATCCAATATGCCCTGCAATTGCTTGTCCATTTAAAAGGGCTTGTTTGTTTTGTTTTTTTTTTTTGTTTTTTTTTTTCCCCCCAGGTGACTTAGCTAATAGTCAGCCACTTCATAAGCATCAGTGAGAGATAAGTTTTCAAAAGCACACAGCTGAAGTCAGATAGTTATTCACACAATTGTTATACAGCTTTTATTTCTACCAAAACCACTAAATCAAGTGATCTGACCACGAAGAAAGAGATTCGCAGAATAAAACTTTAAAATTGTTCAGACAACATGACACGTTTTCTTCCCTATTCTGCATTTAGCAAAATCCACACAATCACATAAAAGTTGCAAATTTAAAGTTTTATACCAACCTCACTTAAGGAAGGGGCACTGCTAGGATATTGAGAGAATGATTAATTTTAACTTCATAATATCTTACTGGAATACTTTGTCCAGCTAGAGGATTACTCTTGCTTTGTTTTTCCATAAACTGTCAATATTTAGAATGAATAAAGTTTATGTTAGACTGTAAACTTTGAAATATTTTGAGATTTCTAAAGTTACAATATAAAAGCTCAAGTGCAGACAGCTAACAAACACCTGGGCTGAAAGACAACATAAGTTTAAGGCAGTAATACCTACTCATGATGAGATCATAAGATGTGTCCCTGCTGGGTCTCACCAACAGTCGGTCTAGTTCAACATTCTGCCTCCAAGAGTGACAAAAGGAGATGCTACTTAAGGATAACATGTGTGATTCCTGGTCATCTTGTCATCTGTTCACTCCATACGCTCCCAGCATTCTCAGTTCTTGCATTAGAAGTGTCAGAAGGTGCACTTCTGCCTAATCCTCAGAGTATCCATTTACTAATAACTTTACGAATTTCTACTACAAATTTTTCTAATCCCTGTTCACAGTACCTGTTTCCACCACGTCCAGAAGATCACTAGCTACTTCACATAGGAATGTTATTTTAACTGTTTTAAAATTATCTCCTATTAGTTTCATTAAATGCTGCCCTGTTCTTGCAGGATTTCAGGAAGGACAGTTCTGCCTTCTGTTTACCCACCACAACCATGATTTTACAAGCCTCAGCCCCACAATCCTCTGGTTGCCTTGACCTCTCCTAATCAGTGACACTTCTCACATGCCTCTCCTCACATGGAAGGAGACACATATCGCCTTGATCACTTTGGTTTTTCTTCTTTATCTCCACTATGTCTTTACTGAGAATTATTTGACTTACCCAAAAAACTTTACCCCATTCGCTTCAATACCACCTTAAGTTTCTCACATGATAACCATGTTAGCAGCCTCTCCTTATTCATAACATCAAGTATCATTGCTACTGGCTTCAGCTAAATACTTAATCACCAACTGTTCACAACCATTCTTCTCTAACTTTACAGCAAAAATAAATAATTCCATGGTGCTCTCTTAGCTGCTATTACAAAGCTGTATAACCCTTCTGAGAGCTATTCTGTCTCTTCCCTCACATATCACAAGCTTTATCTGTATGGCACTAGACGAATTGATGAAGTAGCAAGAAACTAGCCAGACAGTCTTATTCGGCAGAAGACATGAAAGAGATGCAGAGATGCACTTTGGCATTCAGTCCAGTTCTGCAACAAGAGGAGAATCGCATCTTCTAGCAGCCAGAGGAAGGACCGCTAGGAAATCCACGTTTAGCCCTGTTCATTATTAATTAGCAATGTAGCCACATAACATTAATTCAGTTTATCAGGAGAACTACCTCTTTAAACACTGTTCATGTGGCTCACAAGGTTTTGTTCAGAATCAGGAGTCTCAGTACAGTTGCAAGCCTTTTAATTTTTGTTCTGGAAATAGACAAGGTTGATCTTTTCTTCGTATAAACTTCAAATATTGTTTTGTTTTAGTTTTAAGTGGATGCAAGAGACTTGTTTGTTCTTGTGAACTCCCATATGGGCTGGCACCTTTACAGAATCATCTGTATTACCACATTATAGGTGGTATCAGGAAAGTTGAGCTGAAGTCTCCTTTAACACTGACATAACACTACGAATATTATGTCTTCAAATCTCTAGAACCTGGATTAGTTAACCAACTTTTCCCCTCAGGTACAAAAGTTCTATAATGTATAGAGAGGCGGTAGTCTATTAACTGAAGGCCTTTTTTCTGAGTGAGCGAGAAAGAAGGAACAAGAACTCAGAACTGAAGATACACTTAAAGTATGAAGAACGACGAAAAGTCACTTCTGGGAGATTCCCAATGATGCCGAAATATATACTGAGAAAGCAACAATACAACATGTCACTGGTACATACTTTCCATAAATACAACGAATATACCTCTTTGTTTACAGACTGATCTATTTTGTCTTGTCCTTCTTCAGGTAAATGTACTTCTGCCAAAGACTGAAGACTTTCACGGTTAACGTGTTGTTTCAATTCCTTTATAAACTCATCTTTCTCAGCCAGCTGTTTTCTTAGGTCTTCTGTATCCATTTCCTTATCCTAATAAGGATAGCAAAAATTGCCACAAATCACAGGATTGGCAAAAGAAATTAACATATACAAGAGCATCATTACGATTACTTGGTAGAATCAGTTTTAGAATTGCAGGCTAAACCACAGTCAGCTATCCAACAATACCCAACAATTTCACATAGCAGTGGTGACTATTCAAAGTGATATAACAGTCTGGGAAGGTGTAATGCAAATTTTACTTATGTGGAGTTATAAGAAGTTTCCCATTTGTTCATGGAGTCCCTGGTGCTGTGAAAAAGGCAGCAAATGTGATAGTTGTTTGCAAACAAATAATCAAATAGACTTGAATGTTTATTTGAACTACTAAATATTTCAAAACTTCAGTTTCAAAAAACATAAATAAAGCTTTTTAAATTACCTGCAAACGGTTTCAATATGACAGTGTTTCAGAACAAAAAACATTCAAAATATAAAGAGCAAGTATAGTGTTTTGCAGAAGTAATGGATAACAACAACAAATCACATAGAGGAGAAAGAGAGGTGTGACCTTTCCTGAATCTTTTAGTGCAGCCTGTTTCAGTTCTGCTATTTCTTTATCTTTCTGTACAGTGTTAGAAGCCAAAGCCTTGAGTTGTACTTCCAAAGCTTCTACCAATTTATCTCTTTCTTCACGCCACTTTTGAAGATTGATGTCCTTTTCTACCAGCTGTGCAGTAAGCCTTTCCTAAAGGGGGAAAAAAATAGGTTAGAATTGAACACCACTTCTACACATTATCTAAATTGCTCCAATTGGTTGGTTTCACATAGTTACTGCTATTTTATGACCTTAGTAAACTTGAGAGCCAACATAGATCTTAGAAAGCTCATGTAGAACTAGTTTCACTACAAATATGCAAAAGCAAACCAAACTTCAATTAGAAAATCTGCATCTATATTTATATTCTATGTGAAGAAAATTTTTGGTAGGAACCACTGCTCCTCTTCTCTTGCTTTGTGATTTTAGTACTAACAAGTCTCAGGCAAGCAAAGTCACAGACAAAGTGAAAGTAATCCTAAACTCCTCACATCCTCCTGTACTGGTTACAAGTCCAGAAAGTCATTGCTAACTAGTTCTAAATGCAAATACAGTTTCAGATTATACAGATTTCTATGATAATTTCATATGCTTAAGAAATTACAACCTTGATGCAGTCTAGTGAACAGGGAAGACATCCACCTTGTTATTAACCATCAGTCACTCTCCTTTGAAAGCCATATGGGAGCAAAACCAGTAGTATTTTGACTCTATACTTGGAAAGAAGTTTTTTTGTCAACTTCCTCTTGCTTTTTCTCTTCCTTCTAAAGCCTCGTAGGCTTTTTTTAGGAAAGCCAAGCAACAAATTTTTTCAAAGTATGTTTTTCCTAGCTTCATTAAGTAGCAATTCATATAAGTGTAGGTTACTTAGTGGTATTTTACACACAAGATGAAAGCTGAAGAATTCATAGTGAAGTGGTAGTGAGAGGACAGAAAGGAACAGACATGTTAACTTCCACTATGTATTATACTCTTTCATTTTGTGATTCTTTTCTTGCCTTTTCATATTGAGATCTCACCTAGGCTCCACCATGTGATAAAGTGAGGGGACTTTGACAAAGGCCAGCTATCCTCAACCTCCCACACTGTTAACACTTGACACGAGATTTGCTCTATACTAAGGACTTACACTACAGGACTCTGCCAAGACCTCCAGTCACTTACAATTTCTGTTCGTTGCTCCACGTTACGTTCTCTGTCCTCTGCAAATTTTCTCATTTCTCTGTTGCGATGGCTCTCAGCTTCTTTTACTTGACCTAGGAGTCCCATTTTTTCCTCCAGCCATTTCTTTCTATCAGTTTGATATTTTGCCTCATTTTCCTATTTTAATGAAACCGGAAATAAAACCAGAGGTAGAAATTAAGCCGAAAAAAGAAGAAGTCTTAAAATCCAGATTACCATTAAACACACTCATTTCTAAAAGACAACAGAAATACTAGTATGGTTTTAATCCAGTGTATTCCCAAATGCAAGTATTACATTCTCATTTGTTCTTCTCCATTGAAAAAATTAACAATTTTTAGCACTTCTTATTCAGACTGGCACATTTTCACAGAATAGAATTTTTTTTCCTCTAAAAGTCCTCTAAGTCAGTCACAAACACTATTGACATTACACAGAAAGTAATGGTAAAGAGACCCTTTTAACTTACAAATTCCCAATCTTTTATACTGCCTTACAGGACATGTTAGAAAACTTCTACCCCAAGACTGAAAGGCAATGAATGCAGTACAATTGGAATGGTAGGCAGAGATAGCGCGTACCTAAGAATACCAATCCACAGCAACTTTGCCTCCTCCTCTATCACAATCAAAACTCCTGTCAGACATTCTCCCACATAAGACAGAAGGCATCGGAACAGCTCTTGGAAAAAAATTCTACTTCCTCCTCCACAGAGAATTAGACATAAGTCCTCAGCCTAACAGGAATAGCTTACAGGTCATAGAGCAAGCACAAGATCTTGAAAGAGTTTGATTTATTTCCCTAAGCAACTGACAGGAAAGAGGTTCAGACAGCTCTCAGGAGTTGAATTAGTTAAGACAACTGTAAGAGAGGCCCAGCTACAGAAGCACTGTCCATGATAGCATAATGTAGTAGAGTGCACTCTGTTATGGGGCATCAGTCATGTCATATATTACAAAGACACGACATTCAGACTTTGCTGCACTGAAGCACACTGCAGTTTTTAGAGGAGGTTTCCTTTACCAGTGTAACAACTTGCCACAGCATGCCCTAGCTCTTGTCAGTGACATGACAAAATTTAGACTCCTAAATGAAATTAACAGCTTTAAACCTATGAACTATGTCTCCATATTTTACCTTCAGTTCTTTTCGTAGCTTTATTAATTCCTCGTTTTCATTTATGTTTTTCTCCTCATTTTTGCTCATCTTTTCCTGCCAGTCACTATCGCTCTGGTTATTCAGCTCTCTATATTTCTGCTTCCATGCTTCCAGTTCTAGTCAGCACACAAAATAAGGTTACATAATATATATCTTCAAATGCATATTTGACCACATTCACATCCTTCTACTAAAGTTACTTGCATTTATCAGCTATGACCACAAAGGGACAACAGAAGTCTTTAGAATTGTTAGAAGTTTGTTATGCACTACTTAAAATTAATGCCTAAGTAACAGTCAACAAATAAAACCAGAAGTTTAAAGCAGCTATCAAAATACATCCAAACCAATTTTGCTTCTTTGTTCTCTTTCCATGGAGAGATTACCCCAAACTAATCTGTTGTTCTCTTCCAATTTGGCTTCAAGCACTTGATCTTGTTCAATCTGAGTCTGTTCTTGTTCTTCTAATGTCACCCGCATATCTTCAATTATTTTTTCCTTTGCACACAGATCTGAAGATTTGAAAATAAATTTACAGATGAGCCCTCTTCTAGTTCCCACCGTTCTCTCCCAAAGTGCCTTCACTACAACTAGTTTCCCCTATTTCCTGAGTTCAAAAGATGTATTAGAAAGAAATAGAGCATCTCTACTGAACTATCCAAATTAAAATTTTTTAAGTGATTGTCACCAACTTGATTTAGATGAGCATTCCGGTGTTAATATTAGTCAGACTATAGCTTGTATTATATGAAAAACTAACCATTATTCAACTGCTGAACGTTTATCAAACCTGCAGAAACTGTTATTGCGCTAGTTTGTGTTTCAGAGTGCGATTTTTTTTTTAAATGGCCAACTAAAATGGCAAATAAATACCAACATTTAATAAGTTAACACCAATACAGCAAATCCACACTTTCTCTGGGACTTAGGTTTCTTATTCTGAGACTTTTTCTTTGCTTTCAAATATCCTGCTAATAATGATTCAATAAAAATTAGTTCCAGACAGTAACATTTTAATGTCCAGGTTGGAGTTTCTCAGTATTTTAAAATATAAATATACAAGAATCTACACATTAGTTAACAACATGGTAACTCATTGTGTTGCCATTCCACACCCAAAAAATCGGAACAGTAATGCATTTTTCTGACCTTTATGTGTTTTCTCATACTGTTTGGAGATTTCTTCCAGCTTCTCACTATTCAACTGCTCCTAAATATCACATTGAAAGCAAGTTAAAGAAAATGCATTGAAAGAAAGAAACAAATACACATGCTAGAAATGAGTAGCTTTTAATTCTGAGCTTTAATAAGTAATGAATAAAGTATTTAAGACAAACAGTCCAGAATAAATAAGTTTTTCATATAGTGTAAAGGAGCAATCAAGCTGATAAAAAAGCTTAGAGGAAGACATTAATACTAACATATCTAAGTGTCACTAATCAGAATCAGGGTATCTGCATGTATTAAGTATGTGTTTACTAGGCAGATTACTCTATTTAAAAGAATCTGACAGTGTCCTGCAGGGAGTTCTTTAAACATCTTTCATTCATCCATTAAAACTAGTTGCAGCTGGCTACTCTTATTCTTACATCAATTTCTGCAAGCTTTCTCCTATTGCTTAGTAAACTTGCCTCATTAATGGATTAGTTAAAAAATTCAGAGCAAGTATAATTTTTAAAAATTAAATACCTTTTTAAGGTGCAGGATTGTGCGCTCTTTGAACTCTAATTCTTCACTAAACTGTTTTTTAATTTTCTGAAGTTCATTAACTTTGTTCCTCAGGGATTTCTTCTCATATTGCATTGTACACACCTATAACAATGCACAGACAGCAAGCAAAGCTAACATTTAGCTATAAGCCTTTCACAGTCTCTGTAAGTCATCTAATTAACCAAATACTTTGAGTCAAATTTTTGCAAGCATCTTGGCTAAATTTCAGGAGTTGGAAGTGAACTAGGCTGTACATCCTTCCTAGGGAAGGATTTTCACCATGGAGTATTAAATTTGAAAGGGGAAAAAACCAAAAAAAAACCAACGCAAAACCAAAACCACCCACCAGGAAAGAGCCTAATCAAACTACAAATTCAGTTGTCCTTTAAAAAAATATTGTCATCTTATGTCTTTTGATATGTGATTCCATCCACTCCTTGCTGCTTCTCAAACAGAGGATTATACGCTGAGTGTTGAGTAGGAAGAGGGCCTTAAAATGTTGGGCTGCTGGGGAAGACATCAATAATTTTCTAAGGCTTAACTTACAAGCCCGAACTCTTGCAGTAGTCTTTTGGATTTTAAGTTCTTGTGATATCTCATGAGGTTCTAAGAAATCCTACTGCTTGATAACTAAATACTAACGTAATCACAGAATGTTAGGGGTTGGAAGGGATGTCAAAAGATCTAGTCCAACCCCCCTGCCAGAACAGGACCACCTAGAGCAGATCACACAGGAATGCATCCAGGCGGGGTTTGAACGTCTCCAGTGAAGGAGACTCCACAACCTCCCTGAGCAGCCTGTTCCAGTGCTCTGTCAACAACTAACATTAGTAAAATATTATTCCATTTTTTCATTTCTTCTCCCCAACCTTAATAGAAAACATAGCTCAGATTTAAAAGAGAAAAATCTCTTTAGTTAGTGCTTTCCTTTTCTGATTAATCCGTATTTTCCTACCAGAGATCAACATTTTCCACAAGTCTGAAGGCTGAGGCTTTGAAGTCGCCACAAATAACAATATAAAGCTTCTGTTGTTATAAAGATGATAAAGTCCTTCTCCATAACCAGATTAGCTATAATTTTCACAAACCTTTTTCAAGTGTATTAATAAAATTTACTTCCCCCCTTCTTCAATATCTGTACTAATCTGTGTTTTGACACCTGACATTATCTCTACCTTACAGCTTCAATGGTAATTTAACTTAAGATTTGCTGTCACTCTAAATGTATCACTAAAAATAGCCTTACAACGAATCACTTCTAACATCCGCAAGTTTGAGATTTGTGAAAACACATTTTAATAACAGAATCCCAAACAAACTTGCAGAAGAAACATTTGGCGTATTGTTACCAACCTCTTTTTGTACTTGCTGAATTTGTTTCTTGACATCAGAAAATTTCTCTTTCAAATCTGTATATTCTACCTCCTTCCTCTGCAAATCTTTTTTCAAACTCTGTACAAGCGCAGAACTCTCAGAAAGATCTTTACGTAGCCTTGTGTTAGAGATCAAGAGACATAAATAACATTAGTATTTACATCTCCAAGAAACAGCTTTTACACATTAACTCAGGCTCTTTGCTGGTTTTATTCATTTAGAGAATCTCAGATCTATCAGATCAATGACAAGCTTTATAATTTTACTTTTAGATTTCAGCTTATTACGTGATCCTGAAGCAACAAAATGCTCAGATTCACTACTGAACACTACAATTTTTTCATTTTTAAGCACAGTAGAGCAACCTTTATCATAAAGTATCCTTACAAGGTAATAAAACGTTAACATCAAGTAAGTTTAAACTTGATATCTACATCCCAGACCTTGTAAGGATCAAAATAAATAAAAATCAAAAGAAAATAGAAAAACAAAGTTAACATCGCAACAAGTACTGCTGTTAAAGTGCTACAAAGTAATTAAGAAGTTTGATGGATTTTTAAATGCTCATATTTATTTTAAAACGTTTACAGTAAAAATCCAAGATGTCTTACTGTAAAACTGATTAATAGAAGGATCTTTAGATTCTATAGTTTACAATACAAAACAAGGCCTCAAAAGGAAAACCTTTAAAAGTTTTACAACATGCACAGGGTCGGGGATCCCCAGACCTTCATGCTAATTGTACTTTAGAATATATGCAGGTACCCACAGATATGGCACTAAACAAACCCTAGTCAGAAGAAGGGCTACATAGCATCTTCAAGCAATTTTTACATGATTGCACTTGTTACCATATAGCAAATATAACCTGAGATACATTTCACCTCTTATTTCTTAAAGATTTAAAAAGTAGACGGGACTGGGGGAAGTTCTATCCACCTAGACCCATTATTCCTTCAAGTTCTTATAGTAGACTCTGTTCACCTAGAACAGCTACTACCAAAACCAGCTGTTTACTGCGTAATCCCTAGGCTGTTTCTTTCTTTCTTTCTTGTTTTCCTTTTTACTATTCAGCCCTTTCGAAAAAAAAAGCATTACCTGCTTTTATACAAGTTACAGAGTATAACATTGAACTATATGTCATTTCCTCCAGAAAGGGTACGCAACATAAAACTATTTAAAACCCCCAAACAATTCTTCATTTCCTTGCATGCTCTTATTTTTCCCCCACAATAGTTCCACGTGACTTAGAACTACGTTTTGGAAAGAAAATACAAATGGGTAAGGAATACATAGCCAGAAGAACATGCAAATATAAGATTCAAGTAGTATATTAAAACTTCTTTAAGAAGTAGTTTGGTTAATGAAGGTGATAAACATACAAATGTGTCATGTCAAGAAGAGCTTACATTCCCAGAACATAGTTTTGAGTCTATTCTCAAAGGGCTATCAGTTCTCATTATTTACTTACAATTCTATAGATTCTATTTGCTTATCCTCATTTTTCTCCTTTTCCTGAAGAGAGTGTTTCATGTTCTCCAAGCTGCTCATCAACTGCACAACTTCCTCCTTCAGATTTGCTTCTTGATCACTTAATTCTTTCTTTTTTTTGTCTGAATTGGCGCATTTCTCCTGCAGAGCTACCGTTTTACTTTCCAGATTTAAAATAATAGCTTCTTTTTCTTTAAGTATTTCTTCTAACTTTGTTATGCTATCATCTTTAGCTCTATAAGTCTCCAAGAGGCATTCAAGCTCTTTTATTTTTCCCTTGTATTCTTTATCCATTATATTTCGTTTGGCACCTTCTACTTCGTTATTTAGCTGAATAATCTTTTCTTCTTGTTGCCTGTTTATAGTTTTCTGTTTGGCCAATTCAGAAACAATCTCCTGATAGTCAGCTCGACATTGCTGGAGTTCTTCACTCAAGCCAGAAGCCCTTTCCTCAGAAGCAGAGAGCTCAAGATACAGGTTTGTTATCTGCCCACTTAACTCTTCTTTTTTGCTCTTTTCTCTTCTGCATTGTTCTTCAAGTGCAGCTAGCTGACCTTCCAAAGTTTCAGTTCTTTCCTTGAGTGCTAGTATTTCTGCATAGCTCTCAGAAGTATTTGTCTTCACATATTCAGTTCTCTTTTGCTCTACAGAGTCATCTTCCCAACTCTTCTTATGTCCTAAAAAGAAAACCATCCAAACACCTCAGGTTGATTAAAATCAATAATACGAGTCACTAGCAATACCAAACAGCAATTACTAAATGGAAAATGGTCACCATCTCAAAGCCACATCCCCTTATCACATGGCATTTTGAAGTCTTGAAGTAATTAAAGCCCTCTCAACGCAGTAGGTCCCTCTTAGGCTTCTAGGCACAGTTTGCAGCAAGAAGCGTTCAGAAGCCTTAAAGAACACTTTGCCATGGCTCTATTCCAGCCTTCTACTCTGCACCACTAGTAGAAAAATCTAGATAGGTATTACTACATACTAGTAAAACTATGAGCTAGACAAAAGTTATATTTTCTACCTTCACTAGTTCAACAATCCCTTTAATACAGCCAGCAATCACCTACTCTACATTTAAAAGAGCAATGGTATTGTATACTTTTCTGAGAAGTTTCATTCATACTCAATATCCCTTTAAAAATGAAACTAAAAATCCAGCACAAGTTTTTCACTTAGTGTTTGGGACCTTCCTTTTTTTTTCAACTGGTTTCAAAACTAGATGTAACTATTTATGCCCACACCTAATACGTTGCATGTAAAGTGCTCCCAGAAAAATGTACAATGTTCTATAACAGCCTCAAATTCCCATAAATATTTTAATTATTAAGACTGTTTTTTCCCTAAGTAATTCTAACTAAAAACCACATGCATTTCACCACCTTCAAAATAGACTCAGCTGTATTTCACACAAGCATTTCAGAATTTAACTGTGTCCACCTAGTAGCATGCATGCTATGTTTTAGTATTTTCAAAAAAAAAAAAAAATCAAGCCTAACTCTCTCTAAGAATTAAGTCATCACAACTACATACTCCAGGGGGATACTATGGATTCCTGTAAACACTACAACTACAGTAAGGTAGAATTTGACAGCCATCTCACTTTGGGAGCATTAAGCAGATGGCTACATGCATACTGCATGGAAACATCCTCTGAACAGATCCAACAAGTCTTATAGAGCCAGTAACTTTGAGTCCCTAACAAAAAGTCACACTGAAGCTTTATCAATAGTGTTTTCCACCCCAATTCATGTTTTGGTTTTTGATTATTGTTAAAGTTATCAAATTCCACAAGACTTTCTTCCTGCTTTTCTGTACCTTTTCTTTTCTGTTCTATTAGACATCTCAAGTGCTCCTGCTAGGTCAGACAAAACAGCAGTTTTACTTTAGCCTGTAATACCATGCTTCTAAATCCTACAAGATTAAAAATTTTGGACTAGGAGATTGTTTTCTCTGAAAGCTCAGTTGTGTAGTCCCAAGAAAACATATCAGACAAAATACTACACCTTCCTCAGTGGACATGAATTTTACATACTTTACTAAAAGGGAGAGGTGCTGAGGTGTCATATTTTGTGGTCTGAGGTGGCAAGATGAAAAAAGTAGCAGAGCTTAGCCCAACAGCTACAGCGAGAAGGGTATGATCATTCACAAGAGGATTTAGAAGTGATCCAGATGCTTTGTACTGACAAGGACAATCACGCAGCAAAGTGGGATACATATTAGTGCAAGAAGATACCTGATACTCAGTGCAGAAGTTTTTTATGTAGGAAGTACTAAGAGAAAGCCCCACCCCAAAATATGGGAGGCAAGTCCTAGGGAAAAGTACAAAAACCTGAACTTTGAGACAAGATAACCTATCTTCTCCCAAAATAAACTTTTATCATAGGCCACTAGCATATCTAAGTTCCATGAGAAAGCCATCACAGTGTAGCTGTGCATACTGTTCTATTGGGCCAAGTACATTTAACAGGAATGGTTAAATGTAAGCATATACAAGAATAAATTTAATCATTATGGAGCATGTAACTACTCAGTTTTTAAATCAGATCTTGTGTTCTTGTCACATATTGTGTTGAGAATTGCCACCCACAAAAGAAACATATTTAACATGACCAAATAGCCTGCTCTGAGAAAAGTCTCAGTACTGACATTCATTAGCACTGTTAGTTATTGACTTTAATCTCTTGTTCAAGAAGAGCTAATGCTTTTCTATTTTTTTGTTTAAATGAGCTTCAGTCATGAGATTAACAAACCTACTACTATCTAGTATATCAAAGAGTCTATATCAGCTTCACTTCCCACCCCCTTCATGTAACGTTTATATAGGTGGCACCACCAAAGAGTCATTCTAGGATCCAACATTCGTCCCAACCAAAGATGGTAGAGATGTGTCTGGGACAGAGACAGAAGCTTCTCTTAAGACAGACTTCAAATAACACTTATTTGTACTTGTTCAAGTATTATTTGAACAAATTGTACAAACAACAGAAACACCCTACTCCAGATCACAGACCATGGGTTGACCTAGCCTAATATTTTACCTCCTTTTGCTACTGCTGCCAGGCTCAGCCACTTACTACAGACCTTTCCTGACTAAGAACAATTGGCAATGTTGAAGGAATGAGACAATATATCCCTGCTTAACCTTTTCAGTATTTATGTATGAACCTGTTGATTGTTAGTTTGTCTAATGGCTCCTGGAATCTGAGAATTATCTGCCTCTCCCAGCTTCTAAGGCAGCAAATATTAGAAGTTCACTGTCCACTGGATGAAGTGCTTTGTTCCATAAACTTAAGCTGATCTTCTACTAGATTGAGTGTTCCCTTGTTCTTCCAATGAAGAACGGGATGAATGACAGTCCAGCATTCAGTCTATTCACCATTTGTATCCTCAGTTTTCTGTGATCATGTGAATTTGACAAGTCCCTTCTAGCATGTTTTATTTCTCTTCTTGGAGATACATGTTTTCCATTTCTCATTTTTAATCTTATTTCTCTTTTTCTATCCCATCGTCATCCAAACACCATCTAGAAGGTTTTCTAACTTGCATCTTTTCTGCAGGAGGAAGGCAAGAAAGTAAGGGACAAAGAGGGAAGACCTTTCATTTTCCTTTTGCATATGCCTTCCATCATTCCATGAGAAACTGAAGCCCAGCTGTGTCCCAAGGTCAAATTAATTAGAGGCAGGTAGATTTTAAAAATCCTTTTTTGCACAAGTGAGACCCATGTAGCTCAATCTCACTGATTAATAGACTTCAATGAGATGGATGACATCAGTAGTTGTGTCCTTTTAAGTTTCACACCTATCATTGAACATCTTCAACTACAGCTAGTTTATTCACCTCATTCTAAGACTGGTAAACTCACAGATAAAGCAAGGAAAGCAAAAAGATTGGAAGTGCAAACAAGCGCTGCACAAAATATGCCATCTGTGGACTTTACATAATTTTACTTCCATTCAAGTGGAAAGCTTTCCTTCTTTGCCAGCACTGTCATCTTGACCAGAGGTGGTGTGTTCAGAGCATGCATACCAAAAGAAAAAACCAAGTTTCACAGAGCATATTGTATGACTAAATCATTAAGTCATTGACATCTTTGGTACTTGCTTAGACAATTTTAAAAAACTTGAGCAGGAGATGCTACTTTCCCAGAAGCCCAGCAACAGCAAGTTTAATACAGAAACAACTGTTGAGAAATTGCTTAACAGCTACAACTGAGTCTGCAAGTAATTAACAGACAAGAAAAAGCAGCAGGAAGGAAAGATTCTAAAAACTTATTTTAAGCATTTAAGTATAGGACCTTCTGCAAAACAGATTATATTTACAGAACAGTTACTTCCATTTATAGTCTAACATAGTAGATTTTCTCCTCATAATATAACACTTCACAACTTTTTGCTTTTGTTCTGGAATAGTAATCAGGTTTTTTTTGAAGACCCTCTGTTGAGTGACAGTAGAAATTGTACCTTTCTTTGTAGGTGGCTCTTCTTCCACAGTAGGCTTATTTTCAAAGCAACGTTTTCTTCCCACTTCCAATGCAGTTTCCCCACAATCCTTGAATTGGCTGCTTTCAATCACTTTGTCAGAGTCCTTTTTTGTCAATTTTCTTTTAATGATAGCTACAGTGCTGTCCTGTGTTAAAGTAAGATCAGTTATTTTGAAGCTTTACAAAGTGAGAACTTAAAAGGCTTAGTAATCTTACCCATGCAAATATTTTTACAAAACTATCTGGGAACATGTACAGGGGCTGTCAGAGGAACAAGTCAGTTACAGGTCAATTACGTAAACCACAAGCAGGTACACCTTCAGACACTAGTGAGCACAATGTTTCACACTGCACACAAAGTGAACAAGAGACTAGGAAAGTACAAAATGCAAAACTTGCATGTAAAAGCAGCTTTTTTACTACCTGAAAAAAAAGTTTCCAGGGTCAAAGAGTTGATGACATTCCTGATTTGTTCAAAGTACAAAATGGTCAGCTCTACAAGTTCATAACTTTCTTGTCACTGTTGGGAGTTTTAACCACCTTCAGCAAAGCCACAGATTTTTATCATGACAGATCTAACACAATTTAAAAGCCCAGTCAGTTCTGTCATAACATGCTTTAGACTACGTATTTGACTAAGGATAAAGTTTCTTTACTTGTAAGATGACACAAGTGGCAAGCCATGCTGGTTGCCAAGGACCAATTGCTCTTCTTTAAGTACTTCTAAAACAAAACAAAAAAAATCTATAGAACAGACTTGAGGTTTGTGGTCATGTTTTAAGTTTCATGCCACACAGTCTCATAGAAATACTGAACAGAGTTGGGGCCTTGCTCTTCGAGGGAGTAGTGATAGGAAGCAGCCATCACAACTCTTATTACTCTCAGAGCTTTCATACTCCTGAAAAGCTGAGTTGCTGTGGGGCAGAGAGAGGGAAAAGAAGATTAAGTAGGGTCAACACCTTAAAGTTACAGTGAAAGAGAGAAATGGATCAGAGTGTGACTTAGTTTCATTTAAAATGCCCTCAGAACTACTTCAGGTTACTCGACATGAACTTAACTACATGTTTTGTTTTGTTTTTTAAGCCTGTACACATTCAGCCAAGCTAGTCTTCCAGCATTCAGTAGCTAGTAGTAGACTAGCCAGTTGCAAGTTTTATTAATCGCATCAAAAGCGGAGATACCCTGGCCATCCACTCTTAGTTCAAACTCTGCTCAATATATTCATGTGATTGTTCTTCCTCTGAAAGTGTGTGCACATGGTGGTGGTGGGTGGAATACGCTGATTTTTGTTGCAAATTTACACAATCACTGTCCTCCTCACATTAACTTCTATCATCAATTAAATTTTACCTTTTGCTGCAGCAAAACCTCCTTTCCTTCCTCTTCCATTCAGGAAGAAAAAAAAGTGACACAGTGACATAATCCCTCTGTTCCCACTGCTTAAGTCCTCCCAGTTTGAGAGGGTTTTTTTTTGGTTTGGGTTTTTTTTAATTGTTTTAATTTTGCCTTAATGCTACAAAAGAAATTTAAGAATTGCTGCCTGCGCAACCCTCTGCCTCTATTATTTCTCAAAAGACAGTAGCACTGCCCCTCGACAGTGTTCAAGTAAATTTTTTTTTTTTTTTTTGGGTTTTTTTTTTTTTTTTTTTTTTTTACACACCCATGCTCACTTTTTGCTGTAACTTTAGTTTCAATGCCAACTTCACCTGCCACCATTTCAAGCAAGTAGCAATTACTTCTGGAAAACTCAGTTTTCCAAAATAGTTAAGTCCATTATAAGCACATGTTTATACTTTTCTGTATAAAGAAAATTGAGATGTCTAAGACTCACATAGTCTTTTATGGTTTCTTCTAAACGGGATATCAGATCTTGCAGGCTCACAATGACATCATCTTTTTGCTCCACAATGTCCATTAGTTCTTGAATCCTTTTGTTTTGTGTATTCATTTTCTTGGAAACAAAAGAATAGTAGTTCAGTCAGTGTCAAATTGTTGAACTATATCATGCATTTAGAAGCAAGATCAATTAAGCTAAACTTGATACAAAAAAAGCTAGAAACATACTATAACAGCATTTTAAGCTACTGGAGTTTTATATTAAAGCAAGTAATTTGCACAAGTTTTTCCTTAAGAGTTACCTCAGTTGCTTCTTTAAGCTGCTCAGCAGACTCGTCCAATTTAACCATCTGCATTTCAAAGTCTGTTACAGGAGAAAAAAAAAGCCTGCATCAAATACGCAGCCATTATATAGTTTACTCAGTAATTGATTTTTCCAGATCATCTGGTACCTCAGTGGCTTTTTAATAGATTGACTGATTTTCATGTTGACTTCTACTTACAGGACACACTTCAAAAGTTGTTTAGGGTGCTATTTGAATAGGAGACTAAAATACACATGTCAAGTTTGAAATCTTATTATGGCATATTGGTACTTTTTCCTCTACGAATATTCCACATACCTGAAAACACTGCACCAGCAAGATGTAAAGAAGTGCAGGGATTATGATATAACCATGAAATCAAGAATCAATAATGTTGACATTTTACCCCACAATTCAGAAGTCTGCAATTTCCAGTTTTAAGTTCTGTCTTAAAAATGAAATAATCAAGGCCGGAAGAATTGTTCAACCCGAACATACACAAAACAATTGGTTACTACCTCTATACATACGATTTGGTTCCAAAATCCGACTCAAATGGATTATTATTTTTATTTTACAGTAGTCAGTTTCTTTTTTCTGTCTTTCACATCACACAGCTCACCTTTGGTTTTCTGTGTTAGCTTTTCTTGAGTTTTGATTAGTTCACTGCTTTTCTTGGTCAGCTCTTCTTTGGTCTTTGCAAGTTCAGTGGTAGTTTTGCCCAGTTGTTTTTCAAGCCAACCTATAGCTTCCTGTGGGTCCTCTAGGGACACAATGTATCTGTGTGTTTCTTCTGCGTGCTTTTTGATAGCCATGACATCATTCTGCAAAGAATCAATAATGCCCTCAAAATCAATAATGCCTGGCCCCATGTCATTTTCTTCATCCTGAAAGATAATTTATATCCATTTAAAAATAGCAAGTAATTCCACAATAGCCATTATTTAAGTTTATAATGGTCATAAGTAGAGTTAATTCTTGCTTCAAAGCCATTTTGTGCATTCCTACACAATTTAATTGCCAGTTTGTCTACCTTCACACACAAGCCTCCAGTATCAACTAATAGCTACTTCATTTTTATAGCATTTAATGACCCACCATCACATTCTCTTTTATATCACCACAAAATCATCCCCTCCAAATTTAATATAACAGCTAGGGTTTTTTACCTGAAGAGAACATTGAATGAACATAGCAAGTGAACAGCTTTAGAAGGAATACATCTGAAATTTTCATATATTAGAAAAAGCGTGAGGTGAAATAAGTTTGTGGTAACTTGTCAAATTAAGTTGTACTCAAAACATTGACTTTACATCTCTCCTCTTTTTAAAAAAAAAAAAACAACAGCAAAGGGTTACAAACCTTTTAAAGCCTCAGGTTAAGAGTCTAGCTATAGCTTAAGGGTATATACAGTTCTCATTGCTTCAGTTTAACTACAATAGCCTTAAGAGAGAAAAAAAGTCTCTGGCACCACTTAAGTACAGTCCATATACCGGCCCTAAGCAATCAGCTTCAAATACTTTAAAGAGGTACTTAACACAATAGAGTTTATACTGTAATTGCAGCTTTTCCTCCAATTTCTTTGTATACAGTAATTTTCACTTTGTGTTGCAAAGAAATGCAGAAACCCCCAAAGATTCCTAAATGCATACCCTAGGCTCAGCAACTACACCTATTAAGTGTGATAAATGTATCTTGCAGAAGCTACATAGCATGCAATTCCTTGAAACCATCCTTCTACACCACCACCATAACAGGTGTAACAGTAAAAGGGATGTTATCAGGGGGATAGAAATACCAAAGATCCAGCTTCTTCATTGCAAGGCCCATCCTTTAATTTATTTCCTTTATCTGCATTTTCAGTATAACCATTTACAAGTTCCTTGAAGATTTCTAGGCGTCTTTCAGAATCTTCTTCAAGCCGCTCTTGTTCACGAGAAAGGCACTCTCTATAGCAGGAAAAATAAGTCAGCTAAAAGCCAGACAGTATGAGCTGCTAAGAAGTTATTAGTACCACTGCCTATAAACAAAGATATCCTCCCTGACTATTTTGGAACAAGAGCCATACACAAAAAACAGCATTGCTACACCAAAATAGAAGTATCTCTCACACACACCCTCCACCCCTGAAAAATGAGGAGACAACAAATATATACACAGATTATGGTTAGTACTTGCTACAAGCATTTTTTCCTAAGTTTCTTAGCCAGAATACCTGTTGGGAGTATCACTAAGGCTGCAATAACCAAAGAATTTGCAAGTGTCACTCTTTCTCTAGCTGTCTTACCAACAAAGGTCTTCTCTTAGGGAGAGCCCTACAGGAACAAACACTGCTTACAGATTTCACACACCCTATCCACCCACCAAAAATCAAAGCCTTTCCTACACAGTATTTTTCCTGAACTCATAGTCCAAACAGAAACTGATCTACTAACAGAGCCAGTAAATCTAGCAGAGGTCTCTTACGGCCAAGAGACAGTGTTAAGAAACAAGCAAGTTTACTTTCATTTTTTTAACCAGTAACTTTAAAGCCATTTCAGGCTAACTTACTTGAAATCTGTCTCCCGCTCAACAAAATACTGGGTAAATTCTTCTGCCACTTCTTGACGAATTTTCAGTTCCAGCAGTAACTTATTCTTCTTTTCGGTAATAAGTTTGTCCTTCAACACTTCTATGAGATTCAGCAGTTTCTAGAATTACCATAAGTTTTAAGTTTTTCAGTTTCTCGGAACTAAGCACTTCTCCCCCCCATTCCTCAAACACTACAACACTTTACTCTTCCAGCTGGCAAAAGTTCCTCCAGATTTTTTTTTTTTTTTAAATAAGCTTACTCATAAACAGGAGGATTCATAAATAGATTGAAAGACCTGTTTGGTACCAGCACAGCAATTTTTAAGTTTGCACAGAGCAGGCATTTGCAAAGAACATTAAGTTTGTTGCAAGAATGCTTGAAGTTGTCTTAAAAAATAAAAAACAGGCTTAATCTCTACATGATTTGGCTCTTGTTTTCCAGATGCTCATTTTTGGGACAACATCAATAAAACCTCCACAAAACAGTCTCTTGTCCTCTGTTCCCTCTTCCTTGTCTTCCCTAGAAGTGGCTAAAACTGCTGTTCCTTAAATAGCGGTTTTCAGAGGTATTTTTGTGCATAGAACACAAAGGAACAGTCTTTTGTATTGCTAAAAACCAGGTAATACATTTGCTGTGCATTGACCATAAATTACCAAAAGGAGGGAAAGCCCAATCTGCAATTCTTACAGCTCAGTCTGTATTTAGAAATATTTCATACAGTTGTCCCACAATAGGTACTAAGTACTGAGTAATCCCACTTTTAGTTCTTAACACTGAATTTAGTTACAATAAGGGTGATCAGCAAAAAAAAAGTGAGAGATCAGAAAAACTGGGAGAAGAATACCTTACTTCAAGACTCCATGACACACTAATTCTTGAAGTAGCCCTAGCACATACCATATATTCTTCTTTTCCAATAAGAACTTTGGTTTCTTCATGTTTTTGCACTGATTCTTCTCTTGACATATTATGCTCTTCCTCCACTTCATCATTATCTTCAATCACATCTTCTAAGCTCCTGTCCCATAGGATAGTAGCACTTCTCCTTGGGACTGGCACTTTAGTGCAAAGCAGTGATGATTCTCTTGCCGATGTCTGGAAAAATGACTGATCTTGGGGAAGCACGGACGTGTCCATAACTAAAACCTATGCACAAAAAGAACAAAGTCATCAGTATTTTTTAAACCTCCACTAGCACTTCCAAAAGACACCCATTGCACTTTCCTATAAGTCTCCTGAGCACAGTACTCCTCCAGCCTACTCTGTTCAGAGTCACTACTTAGATCAGTTTCCACCTAGAGTAACAAGGAGTCACTTTATATAAAGCCTAGCCCTTCTTTTGACCCCAGGAACAAGCCTCACTAGCTCAACAACCTACAAGAGGGTTGCCACCTCACAGAACAGATTTCTGCATTTCCTATACTTTGAATTTCTAGTTGCATTACACAGATGTCATCCTACAAATTCTATTTCTTGAACAGCTGCATTACCCTTACAGTCTGCTCCTTCTAGTGTTGTACTTAACCTGCTGAGGTGAGCCCACATTTCAAAGGCCTGGATCTATTGCCCTTTGCACATATTTAACTGTCAAACAGAAGTTTTCCATGGTTTCCACTAAGGCTGCAGCGCTGAGCCACAATAACCATCTTCCAGCTTTGCCAGGGTTATATCACTGCATTTGTTTCTACTCGTTCTGCTTAACCTGCACCTTCCTACTGAAGCTTTTATGGACATTTCAAACTCTTTGGTGCTGAATTTATCTTATTGATATTTCAGGTAAGCAACATTCCAAGTTAAGATAGCAATAGTATATGAGGCAGCTAGAATTGCTCCTAGGCAAGAGCATGTTATGAATACAGAAAAATGTACCTAGATCTCAGTGAATTTCTTCCAAATACAGCACATGTCTTTTTAGGCTGGACATTTTATAGGAATTACAGATTTCAGTGCAAGATGCTGCCACCCCACACTTCAAAAAAAGTGTCCCAACAAAGCCTTTTCAAAAGGTTTTCAAGGAAATAAAGCCTGACTAAAAGTAATTAGAAAATATGATTGCAATATGAGACAGAGAAATCCAGTAACTAAATTCATATTCTTAGAGTGAAAGAACCTCCTCTTTGAATGCAAGTCATAAGTACTGATAAACAAGATAAACTGCAACACACTTACTTTTTGTGCAATGGCTGAGAACTTTAGCACATTGAGTGTTTCATCATACGTTGAAGCACATTGGCTTATGTTTACTACCATGTATACCTTTCCCTTTCCAGTGAAGAATCCTTGAAGGAAATGAGTTAACTTACTCTCCCGAAAGGGTATGTGGTGCTGCAACCTTTAAGGACAAAAGAACAGATGACCATAACTTTAATAATTTCCAGTCAGTGTAAGAGCTACCCAGCCCCAAGACTTTAAAATATTTATAAAAGCATAGTCTTTAAATTAAAGTTGTTTTGGACCAGATACAGCTGTTTGTGAAGAGACTGCATGACTGTTGCGACCACTGTTTTAGCCATTATCTCAGACAGGCTATAGCAGTACAATAAACAGGAGCACTTAAACCAAAAGCATGTTCAAACATTTAGCCTGGGATAGGTCACAGCCTCATGCTACATCAAACTGTACCCCACCTCCCTTTTCCTTTCCACATTCAAATGGACATGTCTAGTTGTAAGCATGCAGTATCCAACATGATCAGAGGTCTCTCACTCAGTATCTCATCTGTGATAATGGACAAAAGCAAGTGCCTAGGCAAGAATATAAGTATACACCAAATACAGAAATAGTTTTCAGAAGTTTTTCCTTAATCCCCCAGCAATTTGGCATTTCCCAAATCAGAAGTTACACCCTTGAATTTAACAGCTGGTGATGTAGTTTTTGATGCTTATTGGAAATTTTATGAGAATTCCTAAAAATATGACTAAAACACACACTTGCCACTTAATAGGTTGCCTGCATTTTGGACACATGACAGCTATTCAGTTATACAAATAGCACTACAAAACTCAGCAAGGTAGTGACACTCCTACCAGAATATATATACAGCTCATAAGTAGCTTTGCTGCAGGACCAATAAGCAAGAGTCATTTTAAGGAAGTTACTACTTTCTATTCAATTTGCAAGGGGTACCTATTAAGACTTTAAGAGATCACGCTTCAGAGTATTTATTCTATATCGTTAAAATTCAAGTTATTAGAATCAGAAAAAGACATTCTGAATACATTAACATCCCTCTAAGAGTTGTTAGTTTTAATGCATCCTTCCTATCTGGAAAGAAGAGGAAGAGAAGACAGACCATAAATTCACAAAACATAGGGTTAATCAGGAATACATGCTAGCAAAGCTTTTTCATCTTATGGCATGATAAGACTTTCAACAGGCTGTCAGGAACAGCGTTATGGGGTAAGTGAATTTGGCAAAGCACATCCAGACATATCAATAATTGATCTTCAAATGAGAACCTGTGGAAAAAGCAGTTCCTGGACAGTTACATCCAGCTGTGACTCTATATTGTACTGGTTTTTTAGACAGCTAACTCTTTGGTATTATTATACTCTGATTTAGATCCCCAAGCTACAGCATAAATAGTGGAAAGGCTTTCTTTTGTCTGCATATGGTTAGCTAGATCAGGAGGAGAATGTTAAAGTTACGTCAAGATTTAGAAACAGACAAGTTTTGTCAAAGAGTACA